TTTAAATTAATATATTTTGTTAATTATTTTCTATTTAAGCTGGTTTCAGTTCGGTTTTTTTTTCATCAGTTGCTTCAATTTGTACATAGGTGAACGCAGTGCGAATTACTCTATTCTGCAAATTTCAGGAGTCAAATTTAATTATTTCTTGAAGCTTAAAAACTTTACAGGTGGTAGTTTTTGTACCTTATAGCTCGACCAACGTCTTCGAATTGAAAGAATTTCTGAGCCAACTAGTTTTGTTTTCGATGAGATATGAATTTGCAAAAGTAGATATTCACTAGTCCTAGACGCCTATTATTTTTTTGACTACAGTATGAAGTAACTCGAACGCAAGCTATACTGATCAGTAGAACAATCAGTACTCTATCCAACTATATAGAAATAGAAATTTTACTAAAGCTTAGCATGAATAAAGTTGATGAAGGAAAATGAGCAAGTATTAGCGAATGATGACCCTTAGAAAATCAAGATACCTTATTATTAAGAATGATGGTCTTGGAAGGAAATTTTCTCACGCGAACAAGTTTTGTAATTTACCTTGATGATATATGTCTTGGAATTTTGTATCTTGGTCTTCTTCACATCTTTTCGCTGATATCTTAACAATGATTTTTAGTGATCGCACAGGAGGACAATACGCTTTTCAATATCTAGATCTTGAAAGACGGGTTAAGTTATTTTGTGAGTAACTTCAATTTGATTGTAAGTTCACGATACAATCCATAAACTGTGATAAAACGTAAGACTTATGGAGTTTATATGTTTCCAGCCATTCTTTTGACAAGAATTTTAATAATTACAATTATTCATTATAATATTGGTTTAATTTATTTTCAGCTAAATGAATTGAATCAATCAGATACACTGGGTATGAATGTCTACTTTGCATTGACCAAGATTTTACTAATTACACGAATTGTTGATTTGTTATATCATGACTTCGAAAAGAACTTTTCTAATAAATTTTAGAAAATGATATTGATCTGTTCAGTGGATGCGAACATATTCCTATCAAAAAATTTTTCCTCGACCATCCTTGTTTTTAATTTCTAAAATATTTTACTGCACATAAGAAAAACAGTATTTATTATATATGCAGATGATTTTCGTAAGTGATGCTGATTGCGATAGCAAATTTTTAGGATTAAAAGAAAGAAAGAAAGACGAGTGATCATGGACGATCATCATCCTTTGTCTATTTTCTTAGAGGAGATACACAAACGGTGCACATATATGTACATGACAGGTAAAAGCGATATGGGAAAGCAATAACGGAAGTGTTAGACAATTTCGTCCTAAAAAACATCATGAATACTTTAATTCATAGTCTAATAACAATAGCAGCTTCTTGAATATCTTCGTCTTCTTCGATCGTTCCTCCTGCTGGCTTCACTTCTAAAGGATTTTCCTCTGTTTTTGCTATTGATTTTCGAACCACGAAAGCCGTTGCTTCTGATGAATATTTTGACCAACTTCGGATAGTTGATCCATACTTCCAAAAAATATATGGCATTGGAAGACAGATTGTAGCAAGAAAAGCAGGAATCATTGTAGCCCAATGAATACCCAAATTGTGGAACATTTGAGTAGTGAAAAGGGCTACAAACACAACTATTATTCAATGAGCATATTCCGGAAAAGACTTACGAAAAACAGCACCAAAGACTGAACGAAGAACTGAATTAGCAGCAAGAACACTGGCTGCATACATGAGATAAGCATCAACCAAATAATTCATCAAAGCTAAAAATACTAGTAACATGCCAAATCCAAATGGTACACCTGATAAAATTGGAACTATAAAATGAATTGATGGATAATTCGTCCAAGCAAACCAAAATAAGCCGATAGGTAGAGCAAAAGCACCCACAATTGCAGGAGGAAGACGAAGTTCAGGTGGCACAGGACCCCCAGCGTGTTGATCAACTGCTTTTGTATATCGTTTATTATCCCATACGCAATATACAACGGCAATCGCAAAGCCTACAGCTATTCCAAGAAAAGCAAGCCCGCCAATACCAGTTGACCATCCTCTACCTTCTTCATAAACTATGGGGAAAGCACCAAACAACATATACAGGACGCCGTAAATGATAGCCATATATAGTGAGAGTAAGAAAACAATTGGTTCTCGAATGAGAAACAACCAAGGTCTCGAAAGACAAGTTTTCAACAGCTGTATAATATTGACTTGACGTTTCTCTTCAAATTTCGAACGATAAACTAATCCAGTAGCTTTGGACAATCTCTCTGCTCGCTTTCGTAGAAGAACTGGAGCATAGGTTTCTGGATAGAAGATAGTTCCAGTTATAAGAATAACACCGGTAAAGATGGCCATAACTCCTTCAACCCATCTCCAACCAGCTCCGTCACCAGTGAAACCTCCTGAAATAATTATTGAACTGATAGTTAAGTATTGTCACCAATACTTGCCAACAATAGGCCCGAGTGCAGGACCCATGAAAGGAGCAGCAGCAAATATAGTCATAGCAAGCCCACGTTGTTTTGCTGCAAAGATATCTGCTATTGTACCTCCAGCCTGTTTACAGAATATATAACAAAAAATGAATCAAGTGATAATGACTTACGTTAGTTAAAGGTGAAGAGCCAAATGCACCAGAAAAAAAACGAAGAATAATAACGGTCGCCATGTTTTGAGATGCTGCAGTTCCAGCATTGAAAGCAGTAAGGGCTGTATAGGTACAAATGAAAAGTATGCGCCTGCCAAGTATTTCAGAGAAAGGAGCCCAAAGAAGAGGACCTGTAAGACAAAGTGAAAGATTTCGAGTTAACAATAAAAAGATCCACTTACCAATAGCGAAACCAAGGACAAAAACAGAAATACCTAGAGTAATGACTTCAGTTGATGAATGATAGTCTTCGAGAAGACCTCGAACATCGCCAACATATGCAGAAGAGCAGAAACTAACAGCTAACGTAGCGATAGCCACGAACGCTGTCAACAAATATTTATATGAACTACGCCAATTTTGAGGATTCTCGAGATCATCCGGTAACCAATCGATAATATACGGCTTTTCTGGAGTACCTTCTCCTCGATACTGTTGACGACACACTTGTTCAAAAGAAGTCACATAGAAACGATAAGGAGTCTGGCGTAAAGTAAAAAGAGAGAAATTGTTTTTGGCGGAAGAAGAATTGCTTTCCACATCTTGATTTAACATAGTTTTGAAGTAAAGTCACAAATAGCACCAAAATCTAGAACCGAACAGAATTAAAATATTTCATTAATAAATATGATAGAAATCAGTAGTATCTATAATTGATCATTTATAACGGTGAACGTTCTCTGTCCTATTTAGTAAATACGTGTCGCTTATGTTAAAAATCAATATATAATTAATTAGCAGAACATATTTGCCATTGTAAAATACAATAATACATGTGTGCATCTCGTTAATTACTATGCGCAATATACTCAAAGTTTCTCGCATGTATTCTGTCGACGGCAATTAGCGAGCTGTACTTTTCTGTCGTTCGTAAAGGTAGTTATGTATTTTTGTTTCACTCACTACAAAACATAACGCATGCTTTTGTATTAAGCCATTCAAGCAGCGAAGGATGCCTAATGTTTACTCAAATATATAGGCGCGCGATGATCATTACATTGTATATTGACGCCTAACGAACGGAACACGCCTATTTCGCTGTACTCAGGTGCGCACTCAACTTTCGACAAATGCCAAAGTTATAGAATGCGATAAGAGCAAGAACGATAAGATAACGTTAGCACAAGCACAATGCAAATTTCGAGCAAACAATTTTTACTTTTTTTTCTTTCTTCAGTCCGTTTTCCTGGAATGCTTTTTATCGTACATGCGTTTTACGAGTTTTAACAACATCTTTCAACTATTTTCGTTTTTTCGCATGAGCTGTCGAAGACGTTTTAGTTTCTACATTCGTTGATATAATATCCATAGATGCACACAGCCATCATCTATAGAAGTGATCAAACCACTGTGAAACGATGGTTCTATTCGAATCACACCACTTCATTTTTCAATGACGGCTGAGGAAGATCATTGGTGACATCGGATTCTTTTATTACTCATCCAGAAGATTCTTCCTTCCAACTTTTCGAAAGTAGATGGACGTCAGTGATGAAGAAGTGAGTATCCTGCATTGATGAGAAATGATGGAATTCAATATATCGAATAATCAGCGTCTGGATCAGTTCAAGTAGGTTTAAATAAATATTCTGATAAAAACGCTGCCATCAGTCGATTTTCTCGCTAGCTCACTGTTAATTTGATAAAATACTCTACAGGGACAAGAATGGTAGCGCAGGCTGTCGATCATTTTTTTTAATAACTGGCAAGAACTAAGGAGAATCGAAAGAATAACTTATCTTGGCAAAAGAGCTGAGTATTAACGTTCTACCTAATGTAGGATTACAAGAATTAAAACTATTCTTAAGTTTACACGGTGCATTCGAGAACGTGAGATTACTAATAAACTATTTAAAAAAGAAACTTATTTCGCTTGTTTATACATCTCAAAGTTGCAAATGGTTGCAAGTCGTTATGGTGTTGCAGTCAGTTTCTCACCGAAATTCCACTATGAGCTCATCAGAAACAATATGTTCGCCGCCGAATAGACCAAACATTTCCTAACGTGCTCAAATTGACTACGAAATCCAGAACAAATTTTCCTGAAAAAAATGTTACTGTGAAATTAATTAAATGATTCTAGCGTACTCCAGCCGTAAGAACGTGACGATTCATATCAAGATGTGCTCAAAATGTATTTCAGTTCACTATGCAAAGATAACATTATCTCACATCGTCGAATCACTAATTCTAAACTGAATAACTAATTTTCTTGATCAGTGTTTATGCACAGTGATTTGTTGTTTTTTACAGTTCAAATATGTATAATATATAAAAGTTGCAAATTGATTGCTGGTACATGTCCTTACACTTTTTAGTAGTCGGTTTCATTCTTATATCTATTCTTCCTCTATTTACAAAAAAGCTGTTATCCATACTAACTCTCATTCAAATTTATTTGTCGGTTCTTCAGTCCGCTATACAATATGTTTTTCTTGAGTAATCTGTAATATCCCTCTTCTGACGGCAAGAACTTCATTTTTATTCATTTCTTCAGTTCTAGTCGTATGTAAAAATGGTGCAATGTCGTTAAAATATTCCAATAATTTCATTTATAATCATCAATCAGAAAATACTTTTACTCCTTGCCAATGGTTATGTTTATTAGATCAACAAATCAATGAGAAAAGTGAATTGTTATGTTTGCGAAGAGAATATGTTCTGGGTTGGTATGCATCTTGGTTCGAACGATCAATTTCTCAAGCACACGACAAATAGTCGTACCCATTAACACCTTCCCGAACGACACAAAATTCGTCGAAGTATGACAAAAGAAACAACATCTGTCGACCAAATTTATCGTGAGTTGCTCTCGCGAATGCTCACACAGCGAGAATAGCCTGTAAACATGAACCATTTTTCTGAATGTTGCAAGCTAGAGAATTCTCTTTCAGACTCCAGTCTAAACCGTACTCGACGAGAAATGATGCCAACTCTTCCATTATCGATGAGCTTTGATATACTAGCGGCTCGCCAAGAAACGTCTAATAGTAAAAGGTTTCTATTTGCCGATCGAATGATATTGTATGCGACTGACGAACATCTCCGACTCCTGTTCGTTTGTTTTCATGTACTAATGAATGGCACGTTTGATTCATATCCTCCTCATTTTCATCAAATTTACTCAGCTTATGGAATTCGAAATAGGCAAAGTAAGCTCTACATGTCAATTCTCTCAAATTTTACTTAGTAAAATATTCGGTAGACTTTCTCTGTATCCTAATACCTCTAACTACCCGATTCGCAGCAATCTACAAGGATCTATTTAAAATCCTCACTCAACATGCTAACCGCCGCGGATTGCATTTCTTTTCACCACAAATTGTTACGGATTTTTAACCAACAACGATCAATGCTATGGCTGATAAACTGAGCTCTCATATGTTTTCCCTACAATTGATAATTTTCTCTTCTTCAACTCTTCAAACGTACGTCATATTGATTACTGCTACCACTTTGTCCAATCAATTCGCCGACAAATTTAAACCTTCGACTTATCGAATGCTTATCGTGATGATACAGAGATTCGTCCAGAGGCTCGCAAACTTATGGCTCTGCGGTGTCAACAGACACGTCCATCAAAATGTTTTTATGTATATTCTACCATTTGAAGATGTCAATTACATAAGATACTGGCCTTGCGTAGTGTTCTTGTCATACTAATGCTCTGATTATCTGTATTACATTGTACTGTCACTGTTTATTCTCGCCCTCTTTTCTATCCTCTGTGAAAGCCACTGTTCTATATTGTACGAGACACAACCAGGATATGAAATAATGTAGGGCATAGATTTAGACATCAGAATAACGACTATGGTATTCTTTCAGTTTGTCATTGTGATCCCAATTAAGTTATGAAATAAAATAAAATATGATTTCATTATATCCCTTTTGGTTACAATATTGGCAACACATCATGTTTAGTAGACGATGATAATAATAAGATAAGATTCTAATATTTTCGTTATTTTTATTATCCCGGCAGTTGTTGACGAGATAAAGAAAAGTATTTGTCATAAACTTTTGATTGAATTAATTAATACAATGGTATATTTACAACAAGTATCAACAAATACCGGTAGTTTCTTCGTCGATAAAATTGATCATTTAATTTTTGAATAATATTATAACTCACACTCTTACTATAACAGGCTTATTTTTATGTAAATAGATATTTCATCTGAATATGGTCGATAGTGATTCATAACACTAAGAGAATATGATGCCACATAGGTATGAAAATGTTTACATAAACGATGGTCAGTGATGACATTATTCATTCTAATCTGCTTCTAATACAAAAGAATGCACAAGAATGTATTTCCATGTAGTTGAAACTACACCTCTAGAGCGGTTATTGTTTAAATCTTCAAAACTGTCAGATTAGTGTCATAGGCAGGCCTTCATCTTTTTTTAAATGTGCTAAAGTCACTGTGGCCAGCTACGTTATGTAGTTTTATTTCGTTCTATGAGCTTGAGCATAATTACAGATAATGCTATAATAACGACTCATAGGAATTTAGCAGAACGTTTTTTATAATTCGATTTCTCTGACGAACGTCAACATCTTCATGGAGGATAGTAATAATAGAGTAAAAAGTCAACAAGAAACAGTCTTGCAACGAAAAACTGACCTTAACTGGCAGTTTTGAGAAAAAAATCGGCGATGTACGTAAGAATATTTAACATCTCATTGAAGGCAGTGTATTAACATGACGCATCAGCACTATAATTATTAGATCCGATTTATTTAATAATATTGATACGATGTGTTTGTCTGTATTATACCGAAGATAAGGTATTTTGATCTCGTGCACTCTACGTTTTTACTTATTGCTATATTCGTTCTTTCACAATTGTACACATTATGTCAAAGTTCGAAACTGATATCGGAATTTTATGTTCATTTTCTGAAAACTACTAAATTTCTAAATAATAAATAATTCGTCATTACAGAGCATCATCACGACTAATTCAACCACCATAGCAAAAAATGATGAATATCACCTAGTTCATTTACTATTTTATACTTTCATTACCATGAGGTTTCCTATGTGAAAAGTTCTTATTAATTTGAATTTACTGTATCATAAGACTTTCTATGATTTTGATATCTGCGTAATTTTGTTTTACCCTCTAATAAAATTTTATCAGTGTAAAAAGTAATATTCTTCTTTCGCCTAAAGCGATCCTAAAACATTCATTTAATCAATATAAAAATATCCATATCACGAGAAAATTTTCTAATTAAGATCAAACTGGTGCATTCTCTTCAAAAAAAGTAGAGGATACAAAATTTTAATTGCTCTAAGTATTCATTGAATTAAATTTTGTATATAAATTTTTAAGAAATGAAGTACTCTATGTGATTTTTTTCTTCCAGTCCTTGAAGAGCAAGAATTTGAATGCCATAATCTTCTTTCTGGCTTAACTTTTTTTTTAATCTGTTTTGTGAGCTTAAAAGAATTATTATCACGGGTTTCATTCCTACGAAAAACTTCTTCGCACCTACTTACATAAAGTTTATTGAACGCAAAATTAACACGGAGGTCAAT